CTTCGGTGCGCGCCACGTATACCAGCTGCATGCTTCGGTGTGCGCCACGTATCCCACCTGCATGCAGCATTGCAGATACGATTGGAAGCTCACAGAGGGTTCGCTAACAGTATTTTCTAGATCTAAGCTAGTACTATGACAATGCGCAGGCGCTGTTCGGCGACGGGGGAGCATTTTGCACTTTTGCTACTTTCCATCGACGTGTCGACCTATCTACAACTTGATGGCTTGACGACCTTGCTCCAGCTTCACAAGAGTTCACAGGTTTCACCAGAGTGAGACTTGTAAACCAGAACTAAGGAAGCAATGGTAGTACAAAATGCCCCCCCCCCCCCCTCCTGTCTGTCGGCGAACTGCTTTCAAAGCCTCAATCGTTTTCGCAATCTTCCACCTAAGATGGGACTAAGTGGCAAGTATGGACACCCCCTCTTTATCCTTTTTAGCGCATGCATCTACCATCTATTCGTTCTATTGTTTGCGTTAGGAACGTTCAGATTTATATGATGACCCTGCATTATTTAACACGTTATTTCGAACCATAAGTAGACAAATAAAGTGGAAAATAGATTTTAAAGCACCATTGTCGAGCATCGATTCCTCCAAAATGCGCTACGCTTCTGCATTCTACACGTCTTCCAGACCATTGGGCATAAATAAGCCATCTATAATTTTTCGCTCATTTTTATTTATTTCTCTCCGAAATCACAAAGAACTTTTGGCACGATTCGTCTTGGGGGTGTCAAACCTGTGAACCTCTGTCAGCATCAAATTCTGTAAAGTAGACATGTTAATACAGGAAAACCCTGTCAACACCCTGCAAGCCTTGATGCCACCTGTCAGGTACCTTGGTGATCCTTGTCATACGTGTCGAAATCACTGCTGCTCAAAACGTCTGCAACTGCTGGTCCAGTCATATTCACGATAGAACCTCTCTCGACCGTATCAAAGGACAAACCCGCGATAATTCGCCACCACAGATTAGGGGTTCGCATATAGACGACAAGGTCCCCAGTAACTCGATAGTGAAGAAAAAGAAGCAGAAAAAAATGCCACTTGTCCTAGACAGAGCCCCATTCCAATCTCAGTTTATACGTGCCAGCTAACTCCATCTCTCAACACTACGCCCTCATACGCACAGCTGATTCCCCGATAAGAACTCTACCACCGTACGTGTGGCGACTTTCATGCTTTTTCGTCCTGCAGCTTCGTTCTTCACTGATAGGCGGGCCTGAAGGCGCTCTATCAGTAAAAACCTCTGGGGGCGAGGCACTGGAAAAAGGGAGAGAGTCACTGAACCGTGAAGGTGCCAAAGCGCCCCTCCTTACATTTTATTGTCGACGAAACCGGACTATGGTGGTTCGTCGCGGACCCGTAGTCTTCCGTCGCCCATATTTCAACTTCCGCCACCCGATCGTGTTCAGTGGTCAGCAAAGTCGTGGGCAGCCAGGTACTTCGGTGATTAATCGCCAAACTTGTCTCACTTTAGTGCTCCAGAACAGTGCCGAAGCGCAATAGGGCTATGACAAGTAATGTAGTTACATGCGGCGGTGTATCGTACGGTGAGAGTATTCTAAAAAGCAAGTTATGATGGGCCGCGGCCCGCCTCTTTATTCTATGGAGCCACGAGAAAGATGAGGACAATTTTTTCGATAGCGCACCCGGGACAACTTAGGCATGATAATCCAACGATGTCGTCGCGATTTGTCCTGAACCGCCCGAGAATAGTGCTGCACAGGCCTAAGCGAGGCATGTCTTTTTAGTCTTTTTTGCTTTGCTGGAGCTGAAGATGGGAAAGATGATCACACATCTCGCCCATCTCAGCTTTGACGAACAACAATCAACTCCGAGCAGAATGAATGACTGGTTATTGCTAATCAGGACGTGATGCCGCTTATGGCATCTTTTTGAACAAGCCCGCTGACAGCAATTC